CGGAGCCTTGGGAGGCTCTTTGTGCTCTATAAAATTGCAAGGTATTATGATTATCATTGTATCCAGAGAAACAATGTTCACCGAGGACAGAGGTCTAGCCCGAGGCTGAGAAAGAAGATAACCCAGAACTTGGTGGCAATTGTTTGTGAATTCACCCTCCTGGGGTGAGGTGGTCAGAGAGTCACCTATGGGTGCAGCTGCAAGGTCACACTCCAAGTAGCCACTTAAGCTGTTAAGGTGGCAGGGCCAGCAGGCCTGTGCCACTGAGTCACGTTCACCCAACCAGGGACACCCAACCAGAGCGAGAGGTGTTGTCCGCCTCTCAGCACCCTTGACAGGACTCCTCCTTTACCCTTGGCCACACTCTAGCACAGCAGGAGGCCACCCCACCCCCTATCTAGACACAGCCTTAAGGGATTCCCGGCTCCTTCTTCCTGCCAAGGGCCGGTTTCTTTCTTTCCTTCCTTTTCTTTTTCTTCTCTTTTCTCTTTTTTTTCTTTCTTTTTTTTTTATTACCCCCAAAGCAAAATTTATTTGTCAGGTACTAAAGGAAGCCTCCTGTCCCTTTTATGCCAGCAGCCCTCAGCAGAGGAGTGAAATCGTGTATTTCGCTGCTAAAAAAAGCCCCAGCTTATACAATTTTAACAATAGAAAACTGATCTTTGCGCTCCAATGCGTGGAGGCTTGGAGGAAAACCGGCAGCATTCAGGTGGCTGGCGCATTACAAATGAGCGGTTCGCCTTTGTTTTGAGTGACAGGCAATTTAAATGCAGTATTATATGGAGTCCAGGGAATTTTTTTTCCACCCCAGAATGGGGGTTGGGGAATGCAAAAAGGTGGGAGGAACAAGAAGGGCTGAGGAACTCTGCATTCCCCCCTACATGAGTTGAAAAGTCCAACTTGAGCTATTTAGTTAGGAAATCAGGAGTTCCCGGTTAGAGTAGTTGGTGATTATACTGTAGCTAATAGTGGCCATAGCCTGGCCTGCTGAGCCACATGGGGGTGCATTTTGCTGGGTCCCCAGAGCCTGGCATAAACACATTGGGGGCCACATTGTGTTTCCTGGAAAGTGTTCTTAGTACCGACATTTGAAAACATAGCCCTCTGCTTTATTTTTAATCTGGCTAATAAATGTGGTAATAAAATTCCCCATGGTTCCTCCTGCCCCAGCCGATGTCCCCCTCGGGCCTTGCATCAGACCTGGGGATAGTGACACGTGGTGGAAAGGTTTCAAAAGAGTGCAGAGACAATACTGACTGCCTGCCTGGGCGGCAGGAATTAATGCAGCTAAATCAGGAAGGTCCTTCCAGGGCTGGGGGACAGCTCAGTGGTTAGAATATTCGGCATGGAAGTGTGAGCAGCCGAGTTCAGATCCACGTAACATCAGGATGGGGAAGCATAGACTGCAGGAACCCAAATTTGCTAGGTTTTAACTCCCAGCAGGCAAGAGCCACATAGACGGTAGTGACAGGCCCTTCCTCCCCTGAACTCACTGCCAGGGTCCTGTCGGGTTCCTGCAGAGCAGGCCTTGTAAGCACGTGCTACTGGTGTTTCTAACAGTGAACTTTATAGGGCCTGTGGCTGGCCACGACTGTCTTCGAGTTGCTCATGTGACCTCCAGATTGCTGCTGTCACAAGCCCAGTCTAGATCCTTTACTTCCACCCTTCCTTGTGACCAGGCATAGCCACAAGCAGGACACAGCCTTTCTCCTGCTAAGCTCCCTGGTCAAGGCCCCGTGGGTTAAAGGCACCGAATGGCCACTTCTAAGTGGTCAATGGTGCACGGATGGTGGTGAGTGTATTGGACAGATCAGTTCTCGGGGACATTATAGGAAGACAGTCACAGAGATGAAGACACCACTACAAACTGGTCGACACCATGGCCGAAAGGAGAGTATGGGTGAGGCTGGGGTAACTGTAAAGGACTCGGCCATCCCTTTTCCCCCACACCTGCTTTTATAATTCACGGGAACATTCTCACCCTCCTGCAAACCCCAGCCAGGACCGTGTTCAGCACGGACAACTGGGAACCAGAGTGTCTGGATATATATGATATGTATGTATTCTTCATATTGGATGGGTGCTGAAGTGTTGCTTCTGTGGCTGCGTGAGCTATGTGTCGGCGGTGCCACAGCTTCTAGCCCAAGCAGCTGCAGGACTCTGGGAAGACAGCAGCATCCAGAGGGGTCAAAATGACCACCACCATCCCTACCAACCAACCACACACACACGCACACACAGACACACACACACAGACACACACAGAGACAGCCTGGGACCCTTGCCTTCTCAGGGACAAAGGGCATCTATTTGCCTGCCTTCATGGTCAGACAATGGTAGAGGGGACTTGGTAACTTGCCATGTCTCTGAAGATGGATGTTCGCGAGTGAGAGTATGTGGTTAGCTGCAACATTTTGCTGTCATTGCCGTCCTCTTGGGGACACTCCCAAACTCTCTGCTCCCCAACACTCCTAACATACGTGGCATTTCACCGCCTCCCTGCTGTGGCTCCCTTTCGCTTGGAATAGTCTGTCTTGGGAGGAGGGCAAGCCCCCTGTGCTGGGTGATGATGTTTCCCACACTTCCTGCCCTGTCCCCTCCCTAGCACCCTTCCCTGCTCAGGGAGAGATGGGGATTCGCCAAATCCCACCGCCAAACTGGGTCAGCCTTCCCCCACGTCCACCCTCTGCCAGTCCCCCACCCCAGCCCATGCTTTTCCTTCCAAACACTTAGTGGTTGTAATTAACAAATCATCTGGGGAATTGCCTGGAGGTCCGTCCCCACAGTTAGGACTATTCTTAGTCCTCAGTGCTGGGCAAATCTCAGGAACTCTTGGAAAGTTGGTTGAGTGGATCAAAGATGTCTGTCACCCTAGGAGGTCAGAGAGCAGAGTCTCTTCTCAGGAGAACAATGGGATGAAACTGCGGTAGTCACTGGCCTTTTAAGTCCGCGTTTGACACTGACCGCTTTTCTCTCCACTTCTCTATCGTAACTCCCCCTATTCCACAAGGCCTCTGTGGACCATCTCTGTCAGCTAGAAACCTAATGATCACAGACAGAGTCTGACCCTTTCTGGGAGCCACGTTGTTAAATGGTATAAAGGGACCTTGCGTCATTGCAGCAGAGTGTAGCTCAATTTTTTAAAATGGTGGTGAGCTATGCTGTCCTTTTCTTATGCTCAGTCTTTGAAATCCTGTATGTCTTCCATATGCGTTATATGTTTTGATTTGGACTTCCCATGGTTCAAGTGATCCGGAGTCACACATGGCTTTGACAGCCATATTGGGCAGCATGGCAGCCATATTGAGCAGTGTGAACCTCTATACTGAATGTGTTTTTCAGATTGTTTTTCCCTTGGTGCACTGGTATGCATAGGTTTTCTCTTAGGTTGTTTTTGTGAAACACCAGAGAGATGAACACAGTCAAGAACTCAGAACTGGCAGAGTCAAGGTGGGAATTGGTCACACTTGGTGGTAAACATATCCGTGAGGCCTCAGGCATGCCAGGAGCTCAAACACTGGATCTCTAGAACCCTTTGAGGAAGTTGTGTTATTAGCTTCCCCATCTTTGTAAGTGAGGAAATGGAGTCATGAGGTCTTAAGTGAATGTATGTTCAGTTAGCCAATGCTAGACCTGGGGTTTAGCATGAAACCCTGGCATCCTCCTCTCTGGACAGGTTGTCTCAGAAATGGCCTCCACCATTCGGAAGCAAAAGAACCCTGGCATCATTTGGGTGGGGAAGAGGGTTGGTGCAGCACACTCGGTTTGTTTATTTGGTAAACGGCGCTGATGGGCTGCGGGTGGGGCTCAGCTGATGAAGAACAAACATGAAGGTCTGGGTTCATCGCAAGTGCTGTATAAACTAAGCAAGCAACGCACTCCTGTAGCCTTAGTGCTCGGGAGGCTGGGCGGGACGGCATAAGACCCTGCTCTGCCTCCCTCTGGGAAAATTGCTTATATTGGGCACCGACTTTGAGTCAGAAAGAGTTCTGAGGGCTGTGTGTAAGGGAAGGCCTCAGCCACAGGTCTGTCCCCTGTTGTTTTCACCCCGTCACTGAGAGTTATGGGAAGTGAAGACAGTCCACACTCCCAACCGCCACACAGGGAGTTGGTACTGGGAGGGACACGTGTGGTACCTGCAGCATAAGGCCCACTGCTGCCCACCGTGACCCAGCCAACCAGGGTTCTGTAGATGTGGGGTCGCTGTTGGTGCTTTCCAGCACTGACCTCACAATGGAAGGCCCAGGACTCTGCATTGCAACTGGGCAGCAAGAACTAGGATCAGGGCCACTGGACTTCACTGTCCGAAGCGGGGAAACAAGAGGGTCCTGAGCCCAGAAGTTCCACGGCTGTGGGCCCGCCAAGGTCACCTAGCCACACGATGCAGGGGACACCCGTCTTCCACAGTCTCGTCGACAGAACGAGAACATGAGTAAGCGAAGGACGGGGTAGCTTAGCTCCTCACCACTCGGTTGGTTGTTGTGTGTTCAGCCAGTCGGGAAGCATTTATTGAGCAACATCAGTATGCCAGGAACTTTGGTATCCACTCTTTTACTGATGCTGGTTGAAGCTGTCAGTGTCTTCTAAGAACTAGCGGTTGCACCGTGTTCCCCAAGCATGTCCCCCTTTCTCCCAAAGTGTATCGGGTTTGAACTCAGTAGCACTGCCCTCGAGTGAAGATTACTAGCCAATGTATTAATAACCTACTGTTGCCTTTCCCTATGTTGAGATCTTTCGGGCTGGTTAGAAAGTGAGTCCTGTTATGATTTAGTCACCCCACCCCACTCCTGGACTCAGAGAAGGGCAACCACACAGCCTGGGCATAGTGCAGCTGGGCTGTGAGCTCAGAGTCCTTAATATGGGAGACTCTGGGAATATGGGAGCCTCAGCTTGTAACTGCCAGCCCCCTCATCTCTCTTCCCCCTTTGCACAGGAAGGCATTGGTCCCCTTGCAGGTTCAGGGCCATGGCTGCACATGACACTTTCTCTTCTTCCCAAAGGTGGTGGCCCTGAGTAAGAGGAGTCAGGAAGCAGAGGCGGCGCTCCTGAGTGTTTATAAGCAATTAATTGAAGCGCCAGGTAAGAAGCTCTTGGACTCCATAATTGAATAATTACCACTGAGGAGCGCCGTGAGCAGTGACACAGATACCACGGTTGCTTCCTGGCGCTGGGGTCTGGGGACAGGCCTGGACCCAGGGAGAGGCCAGACCCTCTGTCAGCTGGGGTCAGCGGGGGGTGGGGGGGTGCAGGTGGAGGTGGTGTGTGTGTGAGAGAGAGAGAGACAGAGAGACGGAGAGAGAGAGACTTAATCAACCTGGTATGACATTTCTTCATGGCTCCTTCCTGATTTCTGCCTTGCAAGTTGGAGGGCAGCTTTGACGTGACGCCTGCCTGGGTCTTCTCATCCAGGGTCGCAGGTGACTCAGCCAGCAGGGAACAGTAGAGGGATAATGCCACCTTTCCAAGGGCCAACCTCAGAATCTCAGTACTGAGGGGAAGCCTGACTAAAAGAACAAATACTGGTAGTTCCCCTTCCAGACAATGTGGACAAAGCTGGGGAGGATCTGCTGACCTGCTCACAGTGGTTAGGGTCAACCCCTGCCCCGTGTCTGTCAGAGTGTGCGCCACCTGACTGCTGTAGCCTTGTCTGCTATGGCAGCGCGTGATTACGCTCTAAGGAACCATCTAGAACAGGCATCTCACTGTGAGAGACTGCAGGGGCTGGGGGAGGGGTATGGGCTTTCCTTCTGGGTGGAGAAGATTCTAGAACTTGAGGGGGGCAAGGCAAGGGTGCTCTGAGGGTGAACTGACTGCTGCTGGAGGGTTTCCAGCGAGACACACGTCACCTCAGATGAACACGTTCGAGGCAGTACTCAGCCTGCAATACTGGCCTTGGTCCGGCCGTGGGTCTTAGCATGGTAACCCTTTTTAGGATGTTTGGCTTAAAGTACATGATTCCTGTTGCTTCCCCATATGTTGGTCCACACCACCCCTCACATCGCAGATGTCAGGGCCACAAGGACCACTCCAATAGACTGCCTTGCTAAGCTGGGGGGGGGGGGGGGCGGGCCGCACCAGCCATTCTGACACTTGGTCAGACATGAGGCTTCAAGTTGGGCATGGTAGTTCACATCTGTGATTCTAGCGCTCAGAAGGCTGAGACTAGCCTGGGCTACACAGTGAGACTGTCTCAACAACAAAGTAAAAGAGCTGGGGAGGTGGCTCAGTTGGTTCAGTGTTTGCCTGGGTGACATCCTGGGTGTGGTGGTAAATGCTGGTAATCCAGAGCCAGGCGGATTCCCGGGGCGGGCGCCCGGGCCCCGCGGGGTGGGGGGGGTGGTCAGGGACAGGCAGCCTCCAGGCTATTGGAGGAGCTCCAGGACACTGGGGCCTGTCTCAAAAAACAAGGAAGGACACCTGAGGCTGACTTCTGACCTCCACCTGGCACACACATGCTTGCACACACTCAGGCAGACATGCAAGTATACACACACACACACACACACACACACACACGTGTGCATGCATGTAAGAGAAAACAATATTTCACTTCTCGGATTCACCATGGGACCCTCATCTTTCGGAACCCCAGGCTGTTTTAACTCAGTTGTGGGCTCAGCCAAGAGCCACGTGAGCCCCTGAGACTGGTGTGGAACCTTCCAAAAAAATCCTCATTGCCTCTTACACCTGTCCCTAAAGCCTGGGTACTCAGAGGTCATGAGGAGGCTGGGGAGCCTAGCACTGACCCCCATGCCTTCCCAGGTATCCTCCCGTGAAGAAAGGGGAGGGAGGGGTGCCATATCCCAGCTGTCACCGAGTTAGAAAACGAGGAGCCTTAACGGATGGAGATGCGCCACACAAACAGCCCCTTTAGGGGCACTAATTCATTTTCGAGACATTTAAGAATAACACAATGTTTTAATGATTTCTTCAGGGAATCGAGAAGACGTATTTTTGTGCTCATTAAATGTTATCCACAGACACGAGAAGCAAATGTCAGATGTGGAGGTTTGGGGGGACTCTGAGCAGACACACACACACACACTCGCACACTCTTCTCACCCCTACGCAGCCGGGATGCACCAACTCCCCATTGGTCTATGTCTTGACAGGCAAATTATTTGTCGCAGTTACCCCCACCCAAGTCCTGATTCAACATTTCCGTCTGAATGACTGGCTGCTGCCAGCACGAGCCCTTGGCAGGCAGCGAGACGCGGGCTGATTGCTCAGCAACTATTTTGATAAGTGCGCAGTCCGTGTATCTGTAATTACGGAAGAAAACCGTAAATCTTTTGGATATTGTTCGCACAGATGTGGCACGAAGTGAGAAAAAAAACCCAGTAAAATGTGTTAAAAGCGTAATTAATGTCATTGTTGTGAGGGAAGACTTGATTTAAACTCCTTGGCTTCGGCGTGCCGTGTTGATAGCTGATGTCTTCACTGTGCACAAGCCAAGTCGTGGGGGGACCCGGCCCAGCCTCAGCAGGAGAACCTGGGGACCCAGTGACTAGAACAGGGGAACAGGAGGAGGAGAGAGCCAGGGAGGCCAGGGGGACACGTGGACACACGACTGAGCCCACTGCAAGACAGGTGAGTGGCCCAAACGGCTTCTTGTATTTTCTTTGTGTTTCTAAAACTCGGGTGCCAGGCTTGAGACTTCCCTGCTGGTGTGCCTTGCTCTGCAGTGTCCTCTCAGGGTGAGACCGCTTGGGGAAGAGAGAAGGAAGGTTTTGGGTGCAGTGGCAGAGGTACTCCGTCCTCAGTGTATTGAGCTGCATGGCCTTAGCCCGGAGCCTCACCCTCTCTGGTCTCTATGTCTTTAAAAAAGAGGTCACAGAACCTTCTGGTTGGTTGGCATGAGGGTTTGATGCTTCATGCGTGAGGGGATTTTAAGGAACATCCCATAGCCTGTGGACCTCAGGGTCCAAGGGTTGCAAGTGTCTGCTATGAATCCCGCGGGGCTGTCACCTGTCTAGGGCCCGGGGACATCGTGGTCTGTGCAACAGGGAGCTACTTGGCCAGGTTTCGGGGTTTTTAATGTGTCTTCTCAAGCCTAAAAAGAAGAAGAAGAAAGAAAGTCGCTTTGCTTTACACACACAGCTCTCAGACAACAGCAAGTGAAAAGAAGGAACTCGAGGAACTGTTTGTCACCTCACTGTGTCACCCCATGTGAACCTCTACAGAGACCCTCCAGGTCCCCTTTCCCAGCCTTGGCTGTGGGTCTGTTCCTATGTAGCTGTTCTGGGGTGTCCTGAGCCCCTTCCCATACTGCCCATGCGCCAAGGGCTCAGTGCTGTTGTGCTGGGTTTCTCTGGCTGAGAAGAACAGAATGTACAAAGGAAAGTCCACGTCCTGATGATAAACCCTGTGGTCAGAACAGACGAGGCTGCTTCTCCTTGTTGGTCTGCACAGCTCCTCTTTAGTTACTGTGTTCTCAGACATTGTATTTTGCAAATGGACCATTTGTGTCGTTCCTTCATGCGTATCGGGACTTAAGGATTGTTGATGTGTAGATGCTCTTTGCATATTAGGGATGGGATGCTGGGACTGGTAGACATGCTTGGCATTTTCTCTCCTAAACTGATTTTTGCTTTTTAACTTTGTTCATTACCTCTCTTATATACGGTGCCTAGCAGATGTGCAAACCACGATTTCTAGAAAGTAGAGAGTCTTACCAAATCTTTCTTTCTGTGTCCTATTTTTAAACACATTTTCGCCTGAAGGTTGGAAGGGGTTTTTGAGTATTTTTGTGATCTTCTAAAATTTTAAATCTGAAATGTATGAAATATATTTTCGATGGAAGCAGGAAGTAAAATAAAGATTTTGAGGTTTGTCCCAAATGACTAATTCTAGCGCCATCTAGTGATGGCTGTGGCAAAGAGGTTTTAGTATAATCAGGAATAGCGGTGCCCACTGTTGCTCCTGCTATCACCCTCCCTCCCTCCCTTCTTCCCTCCCTTCCCCTCCCCCATGGTTGCGTCTCTAGGGAGTCATAAGAACACAGAGAAACACTTCATTTGAACTCGAATGGAAGACAGAAATGCCATCTTGCCAGGGCATTTCTGGGGTGCTGTTTAGGGGCACTGCCTGCCTGACAGGCATTATGCTAGCCCCTCAAAAGTGTGTGTGTGTGTGCGCACACACACACACACACACACACACACACACACACACACACACTAATACACCCACTTCAGGGTAGGTTCAAAGAGGTCAGGTCTCTTACTGGAGGTCACACAGCAGAGAAGAACTGGAATCTAAGACCACCCTCGCTGGTGTCCACCCTTGCTGTTAAATTCATTCATAAATCGAAGGACTTTGGGAGATTCGGGGAAAGAAGGAACACTGTGGAAGGGGCTTTACTGCCAGTCCTTTGGGGGCTGGGCCAAGAGGATAGGGAGACTCTTGCTGGAAACCAGCTGCTCTCACTAGCAGAGCCCCAGCGTCTCCTGTGAGATCCCCCAGTGCTGAGGGCAGCAAAGAGCTGCAAATGCCAGGACAGGGGAGACGACAGAGGAAGAAGGGGCTCCGCTCTACTGTGTCTCCCTCCATGCCTGGCTCCTCCCCAGCCTGTTTCCCTGACACATAATATGTAGACAGTTGTACCCTTTTAATGGGGCTGTGGCGCAAACCACCCAGCCTGCTGTGGCCCCTGCACCACTCCTTTGGCAGTACTGAGTGCCTGCTGTTTGCCACAGAGGCACGGTGTTGAGTGAGATGGACCTCTTCCTGCCCTCCTGGGACATCTGTGCACTTCACACATGGAGCCGTGTTTGCACATGTTTTGTGACCGGGTGACTTTAAGAAACTCTCTCCCTTTCTGGGCTGCTGTTTTCATCTGAACAGATGAGCTCATTCCCTGCTACCTTAGAAGTATTGAACAGGATAGCATTTCAGGTGCCTGGCTTGTCGTAGCTGCTCAGCTAACAGTGGCTTCTGCTGCCACTGAATACCCAGTGTCATGGAGGGGGACCCTCGAGACCCTCCCCTCCCCCGTTTCCAGAGGCCTCTGAGCCGGTCAGCTCAGGCCACTGTGGGGAGAAAAGAGAGGGTAGGGTAGGCCCATGGCTGTTATAGAG